TGAGAATCGTCGACAAGGCTCACCAGATAACCCTGGAAGTTGCCTCGTCGCAGTAGCTTAGTGGCTTTCGCCATCGAAACAACATGAGACAGTGAACGATTTCTGGAGCCGAAGAAAGTGATCGATTCGTCTCCCAGAAGATAGAGAGTGATCTCCCGGTCGTGACACCTGATATCCGCATGATAGAAAAATAGCCAATCCATTCCGAGAATAAGGTTGATGTCCCTCATCTCGAGAACAAACGCGTCGGTAGACAATAAACGACCACCGATGGAAAGGCTAAGATCTGAGGCTTTAGTTGAGGTCACTATCTTTCGTCCTGAGGCGAGACTCACCTCGAGAGGATCGACAGCGGTAACGGCGTGAACTCCGATGGAATCAAGACATCGTCGTGAAATGAATGAATGTGTTGCTCCAGTATCGTACAAAGAGAAAACAGGAATATCATTAAGCACAACCATCCCTGACATAGTACCTGGCTGCTGTGCTGCCTCGGCCTGATCAATCGCATAGACTTGGGCCTGCTGTCTGCCCCTCTGCTGCTGCTGCTGAGGCGGCCTCTGTGCCTGCTGACGTGGCTGCTGCTGCTGTGGTGGCTGCTGAGGCTGCTGCTGAAGTCTCTTCGGACAGCGACTCGCAAAATGTCCAGGCTCGTGGCAGTAGCAGCAAATGTCCTGACCCATGTGGCATTCTCCCCGATGAAGTCGTCCGCAAGTCGGGCACCGTGGAACCTGCTGCTGTCTCTGTCGGGTCCTCTGGTCAGTAGGTGCGCCCTTCCCCTTCCTCTTCTTCTCCTTTGCAGGCTGAGCAGCTGGTAGGGCTGGTGAAGCTGCAAATGGCTGAACTGGGGCGGATGGCTGGGCACGATCACGGACGGCCTCCCTCCTGATGCTAGCGTCCACCTCCTGGGCGATAGAAACTGCACGTGCGTAGTTCTGAGTCCCGTGTCCCACGATGTTATGACGGACTGGCTGGTAAAGCCCGTCAATGAACCGCTGTGCTCTCTGGGCCTCCGTGCGAACCAGGTCTGGGACGAAAGCTACAAGTCTAGTAAACTCTCGCTCGTACTCATCAACTGTACGAGTGCCCTGCTGGAGCGCTAAGAACTGACGCTCCATCTCTGCCCGATAATAGGAAGGGTAGTACTTTTCGCAGACTAGCTTCTTGAGCATGTCCCATGTACATCCCGCTTTTTCACCGGGACGCATGCTCCAGTAGGCATTCCACCAGAGCCTAGCATCACCAGTGAGCTGAAGTTGAGCGCAGATTACGCGATATCTATCGGGGCAGTCCATAACCTCAAAGATAAACTCCAGGCCCTGAATCCATTCATCTACGATGCGGGGATCTCCCTGTCCTGAGAACTTTTCGGCGTGATAGTCACGGAACTGAGCGACTACAGTGGCCTGAGTAGGAGCCTGATGATCGGGTTCCCTACGTGGCGGCATCTGAATATTGAGAAAGTTTAACATTATTGAATACGTGATAACATTCTGACTGATGACTAAGGCACACAGATCTCTTGACGAGTTGCCAAAAATGGTCGATAAATTTCTGACATGAATCCTGAGGAACTCTAGAGTCATATCAGAAGATACTTATTTCTAGAGTCATATCTGAAAGTCCTGAAGTCTAAAGTCCGATCCTGATTCGAGCATCTTAACTAAGGTCCTGATCCATAATTCTGAGCATAGACATAGTAATATATTTATAACTGAAAACATAAATCAGCACTTACCTGTCGTCGGCGGGGCGTGAGCATGACGGTTCAGGTTTTTCTGAAAAATTACTGACTGAAAAACTTTTCAGAGACGCTGAAACGTGCTCTGGTACCAATTGTAACACCCCTCCTTATCGTTAAAATCAGAGTGGGAAAATTTTGCAAAGTCTTTTAAAAATAAATCTTTTACTTTGCGAAAACTGATTTGGGGTGCTACCGTAAAAACGTGACTTAATTTGGAAAATTGTTATCTTAATTTTTAATAAAATCATACTGTCACTGAAAGCATAAAATTTTCCAAAAGTCCGTCAAAATATAAGTTCGTCAAAAGTCATCATCAGCGGAAACGTAAATCATCATATTATATATACAGTTAAAACATGAAAGTCCTGAAGCCTTCGTCATCTCACGCTCTCTGCCCGACATCCTGACCTGAAAAACATGATAAAAATGGGAAATGAGCACTATGGCACTGTGCTCCGTGGAAACTCATACTAATGTAAACATTGAAAATAATAACAACATCATGATATCAGCATATACATAACCTCAACATGAAACCGGTAATAACATGAACATGAATCTGATATTGTCACGCAACGTGACCCTGACCGTTACCTCATCGACCGACAAAAACTAATGTCGGACACCATGTGCACACTCTAGTGGGCAGACTAGGGCCACTAGAACCCAGAATGGACCGGCGACCATTCCGAGCGGATACTGAACTA